GCATAGAATTGTTCATATATACTATTATTTTGTAAATGTCCATGGACATCTGTAAGATGTACCCTCTTTCATTTCTGATATTAGTTAGATGTGTCCACTTTTCTCAGTTAGCTAGACAACTTATCGATTTTTGAAGCCTTTTCAAACAACCATCCTTTTGGTTTTGTTGATTTCTCTGTTGATTTCCTACTTTCAACTTCTCGTTGACCGTCTGCTCTAATTTTTATATTTCTTTTCTTGTGCAAAAGAAACTCCAGGTTGTAATTGTTCTTCTTTTCATAATACTGATATGGTGTGTAGATTAATTCACTTTATATCTTTCTGTTTTCTAATAAAATGTATGCTATGAATGTCTAATTCTGTGTTTCAACCACATTCCTGCAAATTTTGTATGAGTTGTATTTGAATTTAATTCAAAAATTAGAATTTCCTCTTTCAGATTTCTTCTTTGACTAACATTTTATAAATATGTTGTTTTACATGACCAAGTTTTTGCATTTCCAATATCTTGTTACTGATTCTAATTTAATGTCACTGTGCTTCTGAAGCCAAACACTATATATTCTAATATTTTAAATATGTAAAGTGTTTTGATGGCCCAGAAGTGTATATCTTGGTGAATGTTCCCTGTGAGCTCAGAAGAATGCATATTCTGCTGTAGTGAATGCGTAGCTATATGTTTATCATTACCGCCATTAATTGATGTGAGTTGAGCTCTCACTATGTTTCCTTAACCTGCCTTCTGGATATTTCTATCCATAAAGATAGAAAATGCTGGAATCTCCAACTATAAAGATTCATTGTTTCTCCTTGCAGTTCTTTACAGGGTTTGTTTGTTTTTTGTTGTTTTTTGAGATATGAGAGTCTCACTCCTGTCCACCCCGGCCTAGAGTGCTTGGCATCATCACAGCTGCACCTGAAACCCTAACTCCCTGGGCTCAAGTGATCCTCTCCCTCAGCTTCCCGAGTAGTTTGTGACTACAGGTGTGCACCACCACACCTAGCTAGTGGTGACAATCTTGATGAATGAGTGAGTATCCTGTGCTTCATCCACCCTTTAGAAAGAAAGGTTCATACAACCAATTTTGAATCTGAACTCATTTGGGTATATTATTTACAAGAGCCTTTCTGAAAAAGCTACTAGAGAAAGCTCCCTGCCAACCAAGAAAATAGAGCAAATTATTGGTTAAAGACTGTAAACAATTAATACACCCTAATGCATATAAAAGACAGTAACAAAGTGCAACATGAGTAATGAAGTTTATATGCTCTGACATGTAGAAACAATATAATCAATGAAAAATGGAGTAAGAATGAGGAGGAAAGGTAGAAAAGAGAAATAAAGCCTACTGATAGTAGGTCGTGGAGTCAAAGCTAAACTTAGAGCTGAAATCAACGTAGCAAAGTATATTTAATGGAACAAAGTAAACATTTAAAAAGAATACGGCCAGTAGGTGGCTCACGCCTCTAACCTAGCACTTCTGTGAGGGCTGAGGCAATAAGATGCTTGAGCTTTGGATTTCAAGACCAGTCCTGAGCAAGAGCAAGACCCTGTCTCTATAAATAGAAAAATCAGCCCAGGCATTGTGGTGCAAGCCTGTAGTCCAGCTATTTGGAGCTGAAAGCAGCAGATACTTGAACCCAGGAGTTTGAGGTCAGGAGCTATGATGCCACTCTTTGCCACTCTAGCCCAGGGTGACAAGCAAGAACTTTATCTTGAAAAGAAAAAAATTAATAAAAAAGAATACATAACTAAAATTGGGGGATGAAAAAAGAATGGATTAAAGGAGAAAAGGACATGGTAGGGAAAACACTAACTAGTGTCAAAAAAGAGGGAAAGAATATATAAACAAAGAATGAAAGTGTTATCCAAGGTAACTGCTAAAACAAATATCTTCTGATCAGAAGAATTATACCATGTTAAATGCAAAGCAAATAAGACCCAGCAAGAAAAAGTATTTCAGTATGTGCATGTGCTTGCACAGGTATGGGGTATGTTGTCTGTTCTAGACTGGCCCAGGAAGGAGGCAATGGACGTGTACACCATTATCCAGGTGGCCCTCACTTGAAGCCTCTGAAGGCAGGGTTGGGACAGCATGCCCTGGGACTGGCCCCCGCACTCCTCACCTTTCTGGCAGCTTCTCAAGACCTCTGTTCCTTAGCTCCCGAAGATCCACGACCCAGCAGCTCCTCCTTGCTCCAGCTGGGAATCAGTTCCGGTCTTAGGGACAGGGAATCCTGTAAGAGGGTGACGGACACTGGGTGAGCAGTGTGGCCTCTAGGCCGGTACGTGGAGACGTACCCGTGTGTGGCGTGTCTGTATGTGTGTTGGCCAGGGGAGCCCCATGTTGCTGAGAGTGAAGTGAAGATAACCACATCCATTAGTTCTCCTGCCCCTGGAGACACCAAATGGGGCCACTGCATAGGAATGAAGTCACTAGAATTGGGGAGCAGGCAGCGGCCTCCCATCGGGGAATGTTCCTTCTCAAGATTGAGATTGATAGCTGGGGACAAGGGGCAAACCTCAATTCTTTGGTATCCAAAGCACCTCCCCAAGCTCCTAGAGGCCCCCACTGCAAACCAACGGAGGCCCCAGGCCACAGAGAGCCTCACCCAGGGTAGGCACGTTCCGTATTTCCTCCGCAATCAACATCCCTGTACCGCGCCCGCTGCTGGGGGCCCAGCTGCTGCCCCTCCGCCTGAGAGAAGTACACGGCCACATCTGGAAGGTCAGCGCATCTGCTCCTGAACAACACATTGTTGCTGCCTCCGGTCCAAGTCCACCTGGGTGGCGGACTATGCTACAGGGGCCTTGCCTAAGTGAACCCCATCCACCCAGAGCCCTCCCTGCAGTCGGTATGAACCCCTGTGCTAGCAGATCCCTGAAGAAGACCAAGACAGCGAACTTCAGCCATGGGGAGCCCAGTGAACTCAGAGCCCTCTCCCTGGGAGGCTGTGAGTCTACACCTCCAGACCCTTTCCTTGGGGGTGCTAGACTACCTGGCTTTAACCACCTGCTGAGCTCACAGCTCCAGAGGAGAGCAGCCCCTTCATGGGGGGAAAGGTGAAGAAAGAATGTTGGAGGGGAAGTCAGGGAGGATCTTAACTCCCACCTGAGGCCCTAGAAGCTCTAATCTGGGGAACATGGCCCAGCAGAGTGCTAGGATTACATTCGTGAGCCACTGAGCCCAGCCAGAAAACTTCCTCCTTATCCATTTCCAAGAGAACACACAGGTGGCTCTTGGCTGCCATCAACCAGAGGTTCCTTAGGGCAACAGGGATGTATTTTTTCAGGGGTCAGTGACATTTGAACACGTGGCCATGTGTTACACAAGGAAGGAATGGATGTGTCTAGCTCTTCACCGAAAGGATGTGGACAAGGATGTGATACTGAAGAATTATGGGAACTTGATGTGGCTGGGTAGGCACCACTCACCCGACACACACCTCTGGGCTCTCAGTGTGCTTGGTTGTTCAGAGTTGTGGAGGTTTCATGTTTTCTAGACCTAGAAACAGGACCCTTTCTCCAGGTGATAGCCCAAGCTCCATAGAGAGGAAGGAGGCTGGGCCTGAGGCAGCCCCTCTTTCTGAGTTCCCTAATGATTTTGTACCAATCAATGTTTGGAAGCCAGCTCTGGAGAGGAAGGCAGAGCTGGGTATACGTTAGAAGGCATCATCTGAAAGAATAGAGCACTGTGAGGACTGACAGATGGGAGAGAACAAGGGAAAGGAGGAAATTAGGGTCTCAAGGATGGGGCCTACACAGAACATAAAGGATGTCCCTGGGAAGCCAGTACTGTGCCTTTGAGAGGTCAGGGTGGGAACTGGGGAGTGCTCTGGCGATGGCCAGGCCACAGACTGCGAGTGAGTGTTCGATGGGGAGGGCCTGCCTAGGAGCTGGAAAAGGAGGTAGGTGCTGTGTTTTCTGAGCTACTGGGATGGGTCCAATGGGAATCTCTGAACCACTCTTCCACACTTTTAGTAGTTATTCTACTTGAGCCTTTCTCAGGCCTTCACAACCTTCACTCGTCTTTTTTCTCTCATTTCCCTGTCCCTTTTACGTTTAGTTCTGAAAACTTCAGCTTGTCTCTACCACTTCTCTTAGTTAAATCCTGCCCCTCCACCCATCCCCATTCCTTTTCTTCTTGACATATTAGTATCTCCACCTTAATCACCGCTTCTCCCTAGCATCCTCTCTGGAGACCAGAAATCATTTTTGCTCTTTAAATATTACTGTTAAGTGATTGTCCTTGTCCATTGCCTGCACAGTGGGTGGTCATGTTTACATTTTCTTTTCCTTTTTTTTCCCTTCCAGATTCCTTAGTGGGGGTCGAGAATGAACAATTCTTTAAAAAAGATTTCTGACATAGCCACACATGAAATATTAGAAACACTACTTCAGGATTTCCCACCAAGATCTGAGGCCAATGGAAATGTCAGACAAGCATCAGCAAAATGCTTTGACGAAGTTTCTAACTTGGGAGAAAGGTTTTAGTGAAATGGCCATATGCCAGGAGGAAATGCTAACCTGGAAGAGTGGCAATGTAATGAATTTGGAGAAAACTTCAGTTGGAAGTCAAATCTAAATAGAAAGAAATAAGTGCTAGGCAACCAGGCCACAGAACAAACCGTACAGCGGAGCCTGGGACCTGCTGTGGCCGTCAGGTCCCCACAACGCAAGCAGCTAGGTCAGGCGGGGCCCGGCCGGGCGGGGGCGGAGCCTGGGCGGCCCGGGCCTGGTGGGAGGGCAGGGCGGGGCGGGGCCTGGAGGGCGGGACCGAGGCCGGGCCGAGTCAGGGAGCACCCCGGCCGGGCTCCGCGCGGACTACGCTCAGCCACTCTGGCCCAAGGACCACAGAGGGGTGGGCGGGTCCTCCCATTTTCCTAGAGTGACCCGGAAGTGACTCTGGGGCGCTTCCGGGAACTAGGCACCGTTTCTGGCGGGTGCCGCGTAGCTGCTTTCTGCTGAGGCTGTTCCTGACCACTTTCTCCAGGTCGGTGGCCGGTTGCTCCCGGCGAGGTGGGACTGGGGATGGCTGAGCAGGGCTCGGCCCCTTGGCCACCATGCCCAGGGAGCTCTGGAGACTGCGGGGCTTTTCCGCGGGCGGAGCGCGAGCCGGAGGTTGACCTGAGCTGCGGGCGGGGGCGGACGGCTCTAGAGCGCCGACCTCTACTGCTTGCGCCGGTGCCTCGACGTCCCAGAACGGTGGTGTCACAACCCTTTTAGAGCCGAGGGGACGGCGTCTGGATGCGAGCCAAGCCTGCCTCCAGGCAGCCGTGTGACTGGAAGCGGGGCAGCGCGAAGGCCGTTTTCGTGGGAGGTCATACCTTCCACGAACAGGGCGTGAGCAGCAGGATCCCTGATACTGGCGACGCAGTGGAGTTGGCAGGGGATGGTCGTTAACTGCCAGGGCGAGGGGCCCCAGCCTTCCTGGGAGAATAGGGGGCAATGAAGCCCGTAGAGAACTCTATGTGCTTCCATGGCTCCATCAGCGCTCCATGCGCCCCAGTCCCGTTGTGCTATGGGTATTCTGGGCCTGACCAAGTGCCTCGGGGACAGGAGTTGTGCTCTGTTGATCTCTGCTCCAGCACCTGGTGACATTGAGGTGAGCAGGTGCACTCTTCTCTTGCATAAGCAGGTGCCCAAGATGATGTCCGTTAGGTAATGTCACAGCTCTCTTTTTTAGATGCCACACATACTTCTGTTGCCACCTCTTGCCTGGGGTGGGGTGGGGTGGGGCTGTGTGTGTATCCCAATTCTGTGCTGGAAAGAGAGGGGCCTTCTGAATAGACAGGTCTAGCTAGGTTCTAGTCCTTGACTTTGTGTGTGGAGTCTTGATTTCCTCATCTGTGAGGTGTGAGTAATAATTGGTTCTTGTAGAGCTATTGTGAGAATTCAAGGTTGAGTGGTTAAGTGTGGTCAGTGGGGGCAGCTGCTGTGTCCCTCTGCTCCCTGAGCTTTCTCCTAGTTCATTTTTTCATCTGTTATTTATTTGGAGAACTTATGTGCTTGTTTCCTGGTCCTCATCCCCTGTTCCTCTTGTCTTCCAACTCCTGCTTGTCCTTCATGTCTAAGATATCACTTCTTTTGGGAGGCCTCCCCTCTTACTGGGACTGATGTGGTCCCCTCTGCCACCTGCTCTCAGGGACACTTTCCCAGTACGCATAACATTGACTGCCATTGATAGTTCACACTGTCAGCATCCTAAGGACAGGGACCACATCAATCCTCATTCATTGACCCAAAGGACATGGGAGTCACTGGTCTTCTCTACCCTCCCCCCAGGCATCTACATCTTAGACTTCCTTTCTGGGCAGACTGATCAAGGAGGAGGAAGCAGCAATGTCTGCCGTGGGTGTTGCATCTTCCTACCTGCATCATCTTGGTGACAGTCACAGTGGCCAGGTGAATTTTCTGGGGGCCCAGCTCCCTCCAGGGGTGGCAGCAATGGCCCGGCTCCTGGAGGACCTGGACAGAAGCACATTCAGAAAGCTACTGAAGCTTGTGGTCAGCAGTATGCAGGGGGAGGACTGCCGGGAGGCCGTATATCATCTTGGGGCCAGTGCCAACCTGCCAGAGGAGCAGCTGAGCACCCTACTTGCAGGTGTGCACACTCTGCTCAAGCAAGCCCTCCGGCTGCCCCTCGCCAGCCTGAAGCCTGAAACCTTCAAGGACCAGCTCCAGGAGCTCTCTATCCCCCAAGACTTGGTTGAGGAGTTGACCAGCGTGGTATTTGGGAGCCAGCGACCCCTCCTTGACTTTGTGGCCCAACAGCAGGGGACCTGGCTGCCCCACATGGCTGACTTTCGGTGGAGGGTGGATGTGGCAATCTCTACCAGCACCCTAGCTCGCTCCCTGCAGCCGAGCGTCCTGATACAGCTGAAGCTTTCAGATGGGTCTGCACACCGCTTCGAAGTCCCCACAGCCAAGTTCCAGGAGCTACGGTACAGTGTGGCCCTGGTTCTAAAAGAGATGGCGGATCTGGAGAAGAGGTGTGAGCGCAAACTACAGGACTGAACCCTCACTTGGCCAGTCCCATTCAGGTCAGCTGAGGAGGACAGGTGCCTCAGATGGTGCCAAAGTGTAGCTGGCTCTTCCCAGGCTATCCTGCCCTATGAGGCAGACTTTTCAGTGAGAGTGTTTGAATGTAATTTTGTAATTTTCTGTTTAATTGAAAAAGACAGCTGTACTTTTCATTTTTTAGAAGTAAAGCACGTATAAAAAACATGTTTCTATAGGTGGGTTTTAAACTGCACACCATCCCCTGGCCATTTGTCTTTGTTGCTGGGTGTGGTCATGAGTGGCCAGGTCAAGGTCTGGGGTCTAGGTCAAGGCCCTTTGTGGACACTATGAGTTTTCTCAGCCTGGCCCCTTGTAGCATTTGAGCTTTTCTGCTCATTTGCTTTTGTGATTCCTGTTTTAGGGTAGACATTTTGATTCATTCTCCTGTCTTGAGTCCTTGCTCTCATGGAGCTGACATTCTGGTGGGGGTAGTGAACATATACTTTTACATATTATTACAAAATGCATAGTGAAAACCTAGTATAGCTTGTCAGAGGAGGGTGAGCAATGCTGTAAATAGAAGAGACTCTAGGTGATGGGGTGGCCTTTCATGAAGATATGACATCTGAGCAAAAACTCCAAGGAGGCAAGGGAAGGCAGGTCAGACGGGATGGCTAGCGCACAGGCCACCAGTGGAGGGAGGCCTGACATGAAAGGCTGAGTGGCTGCAGCCAATTGGGAGGAAGTCCTTGGAGGGAGGTGAAATTGGAGAGGGTCAGGGCCTGAGGGCCTTTGTAAGGACTTTGGCTCAATTCTTCATGAACCTTAACATTTGTACTCCCATAATATGCTGAAATATAAAAAAATAAAATAAAAATAAAAATTATCCGTGAAACAGGGAGCCCTTTGAGAGTTTTCAGCGGAGAACGGACATGATCTGGTGATTGTTTAAAAGGATAACACTGGTTGCTGGGTGCGGTACCTCATGCCTGTAATTCTAGCACTTTGGGAGGCGAAGGCAGGATTGCTTGAAGTCAGGTGTTCGAAACCCGCCTGAGCAAGAGCGAGACCCTGTCTCTACCAAAAATAGAACAAATTAGCCAGGTGTGGTTGTGCCCTCCTGTAGTCCCAGCTACTCAGAAGGCTGGCTGAGGCAGGATTGCTTGAGTCCTGGAGTTTGAAGTTGCAGTGAGCTATGGTGTCACCACTGCACTCTAGCCAGGGTGACCAAGCGAGACTCTGTCTCCATAAAAACAAGCAAAACAAGGATAACACTGGCTGCTGCGTTGAGAACAGCATGTAGGGGCACAGCAGGAGGTCTGGAGCCTAGGGGACAGGCTGTGGCCAGCGTGGAGTTGTTGGGTGCCAGGGGCCAAGACCAGCTCTACAGCCTCCAGCATATCCATGTTTCAGGTAGGGGCTTCAGGGTTTTGCTCCCTGCAGAGCTGTTTGCTGAGTGCTGTGTTCCCTTTGGCGGCATCCCTGCCTCCTTGGAGCATTTCTCTGGTCTGCTTGTGGTCTGTTCTCTGCTGGGAAACCAGGTCATGAGTCTCAAGGAAGTAAGTAGGCCTGAGCTACAGGAACTTCCTCTGAAAACAGTTAACAAGCTTTGGTGCCTGCCTTGTCTATCTTGGAACCCCACCCCTTCCCACCTCTTGGGCTCTAGGCCAGGCCCTGATCCCTGCACAGGTGTTTATAGAATGCTTGCCATCTCAATTAAGGCTTTTTCCCTTTAAATGGTGAGGCTTTTTCCCTCACTTGGGCAATTGAGGTGTGGCCATGGGCAGAGAAAGGAGGAGACTGCCCTTTGATTGCTGAATACAAGGAGGAGAGCTGCCCAGGGATGCCACTGCAGGGCTGAGACTGGGCCCAAGGGTGGGGCCGAGGCCTGGCCCAGCCTCCTTTAGCCTCAGCCAGAGTCCTCAGGCCTGCTTCTTGGAGGACAGAAGCTGCACTGGACCATCCAAGCTGTCTGTGAACCCACCCAGGAGGGAGTAAGGAGACAGATCTGAAAAAAGGACGTGCACAAGTAAAGTATGTGCCATGAGGGAGTTCTCTATGTTACATACTTCAGTTCTGAACCATCAGGACATTCAGGAATTTCAAACTCATTGACACATTTGGGAAAAGCCAAAAAACTAAAACTAAAAGTTTTTGTAAAAATTAAAAAATCTCTTTGCCCATAGTCAGCTGTGAAACATCTTGATGTATCTCTTTCTGGTCTTTATACTTTCACTGTATGTTTGTCTGCGTGTGTTAACACATCTGTTCATTTAACTTTTTTCCTGTGTATGACAGTCATGTTTCATGGTTGCAAAACATACATCCTGGGGGGTGTGCTATACTTAGTCCTTTATTAGTGGGCTTCTATTTTTTCTATTAAAAATCAGAGTAATGTAACTGGCCAAAGCATGCTCTATGTTAAAACTCTTTAAAGTAGAAACAGCTGAGTGTGGTGGCACATGCCTGTAGTCCCAAGTACTCATGGAGCTAAGGCAGGAGGATTGTTTGAGCTCAAGAGTTTGAGACCAGGGCCGAGACCAGTGGTGGCTCATGCCTATAATCCTAACTCTCTGGGAAGCTAAGGCAGGCGGATTGCTCGAGGTCAGGAGTTCGAAACCAGCCTGAGCAAGAGCGAGACCCCGTCTCTACTATAAATAGAAAGAAATTAATTGGCCAACTTCTAATAATAAGAAAAAATAATAAAATATAAGTGTAGAAAAAAAAGGGTTTATGGACCGGGGGGCATCGGGTATGGCGTGTCCGCATGCCATAGTATAGATCACCTGCAAGCTGGAGACATGCAGCAAGGCCTGTTCCGGGCGGCCTGAATGTCTGAAGAAGGGAATCTTATTGCGGCTTCTCCTGAGCATGCATTCCTGAACCCAGAGTTTGAGGTGCTGTTGAGCTATGCTGACGTATGGGCCACGGCAGCTCACTCTAGCCTGGGC